ATACTTATATCATCTTCCTTGTATTTCCTCCTGTGGATTTTACAGTGTATTGTGCTATTCATTTTCATTGGTCCTTTCCTCACCATGGTTACAGAAAAATGGTAGATACCAGGTATGGAGCATGTGAATGTACCAGTAGACATATCGAAATCCTGTCCGTATTGGTATATTGTCTTTGCGAAAGTCAACTTAGATGTTCCGTTGTGGCTACGGTAGCTGTAAGGTGTATTCACTGTGAATGCAGACATCGTATCTGTAATTTTAAAGTTGTATCATTAACATAAATCGAAACATAAACATCTTAGTTTAACTTTATACCTGCCTTTAAGTTAAGATAATATGGCTTTCACAAAAGACATAAAACACATATGTTGCTGTAGAAACAACAGCACAAGTTGTCCAACTTTAAACCAGGCTACTTATATGAGCTTGATAAAATCACTGTTTGGAATATATTAATTCTTAAATAATAATGATAAATGGCGGCGAATAATTGTGTATTGAACCGCGTCACGCATCGCGTAGCAAGCGAGGAATTCGTAATCATTTTTTCTTGACAAAAAATATTAAATAAAAAGGTTTATTTTCATTTTCGAGAAATATGGAATATATTTTCACGAAACATGATGAAATTCCACATATTTTCACAAGCCGGTATCTCGAGTATTTTATCATATTTCACTCAAGAATAAAAATATCCTCTTCTTAATTCGAAGATATAGAGGATATTTAATTAGTTTAAGTTCAATACTGAATTTATTGAACGAGTTGAATAAAATTATATTTTGCGAGCCTCTAGCGAGCATATTATTTCATTCAACTCGTGCAATAAATTCAGAAATGAACTTAGACGAATTTAATATTCTTTTTATCACATTCCCAAAATAAAGACCGTTTAAAGTGAAATAAGAGTCATTTTTCATTGACGCTAACATTAAGGGCGTCTTAACACTATATTTGTATAACGCTAATGACGTCACGTCAAACTATATGCACGGCCGTGCAATACCATGTTTACGGAGTCGCAAATTCGGCACAGGTGTTTCATAGGGAATTTTAGTTCATGTTATCCGTTTCCATTACTTTCAATCATTTCAAGTTTAATATGCCTGAATTCCATATAAAAATGAATACACTTAGAACATTTTTGGAGACTGGAACATAGATTTTCTATATTATATCAATTCGACAAATTTGTGATCAACTATTTGCTTTATAAATTACTTTTTATTATTTTGAACCGGTTATAACGACGGTTAAAACAGATCTGTTATCCCAGATTTTCGCCCCGATAAACATCGGACAGACTTTTTATTACTTTCATAGACCCTGAAAAATCATATACACAAACAAACAGCAATGTGTATGAAATGGCTATTTATAATAATCAATATTTCATTTTTACACTAGTTTAAATTTGAACAACAAACATTTCTTTTTATATTTCTTAATTCAACATGTCTAACGTGTCATCCACTATAGGTTTACAAATTATTTATTGATAGAAACGTTGATGAATAAGTGAGTGATGATTATGATTGATTATGATGAATATTTGCGATACTGATGGTTGTGATGAATATTTAAACGATGATGATGGTGATGCTGATAATAATGAAGATTATTGGGGTGGTGATGATGATAATGATAAGAATTATTGGAGTGGTGTTTGTGGTGATGATGATGATGATGATAATGGTGGTGGTGATGATGATGATGATGATGATGATTATGGTGATGATGGTGATGATGATGATGATGATGATGGTGGTGGTGATGGTGATGATAATGATGATAAGCGTCATCTTTATTATTACAATAATTATAGGGATGGTGTAGATAATGAGGATTCGAAGAATGTAGATTGGAACGGTGTTGACGATTATGTAATGTTGATAAGAAGAATGACGGTGATAAATGTAAGTTTCAGTGTATGTTTTGGTCTTCTGTCTGAATTCCTAAGATCAATATCTATATGAAAATGTTGTTGATAATTATGGGTTCTAGTTAAGAAAATTATTAAAAAAGTGTGTTTTTTTTATAGTCATGGCAAATTATTGCAATGGACATGCCATGGCAAGTATTTTAGATAGTTTTACTTTTTACTTTTTTTAAGTGCATTAAAATATGGGTTAAACTTGGCAAAATCTGGCATGATAAAAAAGAAACCCGCAGCTATTGTATATAAAAACAATCCTTTAAATTATAGAAAGAAACAAACAGGCCTTTGAATCTATTTGTCCCAAACAATGTTGTTTTTCTAAAACCTTCATGTCACATTTTATTCCATTATAAAGATCTTCATGGCTGCCTTTTTTGAGACAATATAAAGTTAACGTAAACTACATCAAGTCCGTCACAATCATTCTGTCAGTGTGCATGATATGTTATAATAAATAATAACACTATTATTTGAACTATTCTCAAGCTATGCCATATAAACATAAAATAAAATGTTTATTATTTGATGGGACATACAAGTGTATAGACTTCCTGGTAGAAAATATATCAAAATGCAGTCGGATAGACAAAAGACTCGCTCATTTGCAGTTTAAGTACCATAAGAAAGAGAATAACAAGGAAAATTATAAGTTGATTAAACTAATTGCTTCTCTTCAAACGACACTTGGCATATTGTCATTGAAACAGAAAAAACACTTTCAGGACACACTTACCCAAAACATTAAAACAATAATCACACTTATTCTTTTGGTCGTTATTTTATTTCCAGTGTCAAGATATTTTTCAAGTATTACTCTTTAACAATAGAACATGTCGCGGCTTATTTAAATAAACTGGAGTGGACACTTTTATGTCAAGAAAATAAGGAAGATATCACATGGCGTTGACAACATTTTTAATTTAACAGACAATCAAAAATAAAAGTATTTAATTAAGAAATAATTGCTCTGTGTAGTAGATGTGTGTATGTGTCAGACTCTTGAAGTTTTTGAAAAAACATCCTCCTTTATATAGAATTAAGGATGGGGGATAATTTAAATATTTTGGTCCTTTTTTATTTGATGTTAAACTCGTTTCTTGAAATATCAGGTTTGGGTACAGGTAGCTCTGAGTATATGACATCATAAGATGTTGAAAGAAGCGGAACATGAATGATTATATAGAGGATATTTGTTTGTTTGTGTGTAAGATGAAATTTTATTTCATCGAGTGGGCTTTAAAAAACAGTATTCTCACGAGTGGCGTAGTCACGACTGAGAATACTGTTTTTTTTTAAGTTCACGAGATGAAATAAAATTACATCTTACACAACAAACAAACGTATTTTCTTTTTATTTTATGCTAAAAAACAAGTTTAAACAAAATTTCCATAATATTAACGTAAATATTAAAGTCTGTTTTCGCCATTGAGAGCCCCATTTAGTCGGAATTTCTCATTAAAAACAAGAAGTCTTGAGCTGAAAAATTAGTCCGACAATCAACGTTAAATGACAGTGATATTATTTATTTTATTAAAAAATATGAATGATCGCTTGTTTTAATAATAAAAACAAACAATTCTTGTAGGAGAAAAAGTCCAACCATCCATCCATATTTTTGTTGCTTACTGCGAATTTATATTAGACCTTGCTTTGTTAAATGTAAGCGGCAGCCTTTTTTAAAGTTGTGTACTTCAGGGGAGGAAAATAATTGTGTTTGATTCAGAGGGATATCATTTTGATTTGTTAGTCATACACCTTTTTAAAAGAAAGAAAAACATATTTGAGGATTGTAACAGACAAAAATAAGTGTTGACAGATGTGAAAACATTCAAAAAAGGAGCTAGGAAAATGGAAAACTTGGAACTTGCTCAGGAACGCTAGGTGGTTTACTTGTTCTACGAGCTTATGGCTGTCATTGCTTTTCAATTTTTCATAAAGCATACGGCAGTTATTGCTTGTAGGATACTTTAAATATGCCCAAATGTCATCAAGAGCAGTTTTGCATGTGGAAGGAATGTATTTTTCAGACTGTAAAAATGAAACAAAAAATTTAGAGACGAACTTTGGTGATTGGAATTTGAATGAATAGAAGTAAGTTTTCTTCTTTTTATTACTTTTGACATTAAAATTACATGTATTTATCAATTTCAGCTTTGCTTTTTCTTTAAACAGCCTGACATTGTCAGAATTGTTAGCAAAAATAAAATTGAGGTACCACGTGGGAAAATCTTAAAAAAAGTAGTTTCGTCATTGAAAAATGTGAAATTATATTTTGATAATTTTCACTGTGAAATTATCAAATATAATTTTCACGGATAAATCAGTAATCCACTGAAAAGCATAAAATAACAGGTTAATACTGAGTTACAAATAATAGATTTTGTCTAAATGAGTTAATTTCAGTAAGGTAAAATTGCAACTACGTGTTGAATGACCCTTTGAAATATAATTCATGTATTGGTAGAAAGCAATCATACAATGTATAAAGTGATAATTCCTATGCAATTACCTTAACCACATCCTTATTTACATAACAATATGGAAAATATATTTAAGACTTACACGTTGTAAACGGCGCTTTGAAGCCATATAAATTGTCAAATAGAGGTCAAAATATGCAAAATATACCCTACTACATTGGTCTCGAGCGTAAATATGATGATCATATTTATTTTGTCAATATTTTGCGTTGTTATTTAAGATAAAATCGTTGTCAAATCGTTGATTTAGTTTATGCTTATAAGTAAAAGTCTGGGTTTCTATTGCGTTGGATAAAACCCATATATCACTCATAGTGTTGTAAACAAAGCTTCTGCATATATATAAATATATGACTCTGGATATATCCTTAAAATGTATTGTATATCTTGTTCTTTATAGTCAATTTGTCAAGATGATTACCGCAATAAGATGATATAAATTGCACTGCAATGATGACTCTAAGCTGTCACTTTTTTGTTTTGCCAAGTGTACGCGTAGTTGTTGAATGGTTGGCGTCATTTACTTAACGCGGGTCCGTTTCCCATGCCGTAGTATATGCTGTCCGTTCCATATATATATCTACCGTTTTTGTTGATTGGAATACAATTGTATGAAAAATTGTTTCTTCAAAGATATAAATACTTGCACAATCCATTTTAATCCGATTCTTAAATCTGTCAGGTATTCCTGTCATATCAATATAATAAGGGTAACACACATGGGAGAGCGACATAAAATCCTTTGTAGAGTGTTTCGTGCAGAAAGTGCAAATGATTTTAATTTTGAGCAGTGTTAATATGTGGACAGTACCTATAACTAACTATAAGCAACAAGATGCAATACAGTGGTTATTTTCTTATTAAAACATATACGTGTATGTGATTGGCACGACAAGAATAACATTGAACTCTCACAAGAAAATAAAACAATATGCCATTTTGCTTATTAACAAAGAAAGCTGTATGAGCTTGCATATTTTGTACACACATTTGTCGTCTCTTCTACATCATTAATATTTTAATAATGTTCTTATCAACTAGACAAGTCACTTAACATACTGATGTTTAACTGTCTTCCATAACCTAGAACCATGGTAATGTGCATGTGTTAATTCTATCATAATTGTAAAATAAGATGACTTACTGTTTAGATCAGTATAAATGCTCATTTAGTTTAAGGTTTATCGTGTTACATTTCGAAAAGATAGAGGATAGAATTAAATAACCACTTCTATTAAACCATCGTCAATTGTTGAAAAGATGTATTTAATCATGTTTTGTTTGGATGGAGCAGAAAACCAGTAAAGGAGGACCACCATTCCAAATGTATATAGGTATCTTCATCATGACAAGTTCCGAGATAAACTGTGTCTCTAATGTCAAGGTAAGTCACAAATGTTTGAGAGACAGATCTGCAGTCTGTATCCGCTATTCTTATAATACTTATATCATCTTCTTTGTATTTCCTCCTGTGGATTTTACAGTGTATTGTGCTATTCATTTTCAATGGTCCTTTCCTCACCATGGTTACAGAAAAATGGTAGATACCAGGTATGGAGCATGTGAATGTACCAGTAGCCATATCGAAATCCTGTCCGTATTGGTATATTGTCTTTGCGAAAGTCAACTTAGATGTTCCGTTGTGGCTACGGTAGCTGTAAGGTGTATTCACTGTGAATGCAGACATCGTATCTGTAATTTTTAAAGTTGTATCATTAACATAAATCGAAACATAAACATCTTAGTTTAACTTTATACCTGCCTTTAAGTTAAGATAATATGGCTTTCACAAAAGACATAAAACACATATGTTGCTGTAGAAACAACATCACAATTCTTCCAATTTTAAACCAGGCTACTTATATGAGCTTGATAAAATCACTGTTTGGAATATATTAATTCTTAAATAATAATGATAAATGGCGGCGATTAATTGTGTATTGATCCGCGTCACACATCGCGTAGTAAGCGAGGAATTCGTAATCATTATTTTTTTGACAATAAATATTAAATAAAAAGGTTTATTTTCATTTTCGATAAATATGGAATATATTTTCACGAACATGATGAAATTCCACATATTTTCACAAGCCGGTATCACGAGTATTTTATCATATTTCACTCAAGAATAAAAATATCCTCTTATTATTTATTCGAAGATATAGAGGATATTGAATTAGTGTAAGTTCAATACTGAATTTATTGAACGAGTTGAATAAAATTATATTTTGCGAGCCTCTAGCGAGCATATTATTTTCATTCAACTCGTGCAATAAATTCAGAAATGAACTTAGACGAATTTAATATTCTTTTTATCACATTCCCAAAATAAAGACCGTTTAAAGTGAAATAAGAGTCATTTTTCATTGACGCTAACATTAAGGGCGTCTTAACACTATATTTGTATAACGCTAATGACGTCACGTCAAACTATATGCACGGCCGTGCAATACCATGTTTACGGAGTCGCAAAATCGGCACAGGTGTTTCATAGGGAATTTTAGTTCATGTTATCCGTTTCCATTACTTTCAATCATTTCAAGGTTTAATATGCCTGAATTCCATATAAAAATGAATACACTTAGAACATTTATTGAGACTGGAACATAGATTTTCTATATTATATTATTTCGACCAATTTGTAATCAACTATTTGCTTTATTTTTACTTTTTATTATTTTGAACCGGTTATAACGACGGTTAAAACAGATCTGTTATCCCAGATTTTCGCCCCGATAAACATCGGACAGACTTTTTATTACTTTCATAGACCCTGAAAAAATCATATACACAAACAAACGGCAATGTGTATGAAATGGCTATTTATAATAATCAATATTTCATTTTTACACTAGTTTAAATTTGAACAACAGACATTTCTTTTAAAAAAATTATATTTCTTAATTCAACATTGTCTATCGTGTCCACTAGAAGTTTACAAATTATTTATTGATAGAAACGTTGATGAATAAGTGAGTGACGATAATGATGATAATTGCCGTTTCTGATGGCTGTGATGAATATTTAAACGATGATGATGATGATGGTGATGATGATAATGTTGAAGATTATTGGGGTGGTAACGATGATAATGATAAGAATTATTGGAGTGGTGTTTGTGGTGATGATGATGATGATGATAATGGTGGTGGTGATGATGATGATGATGATGATGGTGGTGGTGATGGTGATGATAATGATGATAAGCGTCATCTTTATTATTACAATAATTATAGGGATGGTGTAGATAATGAGGATTCGAAGAATGTAGATTGGAACGGTGTTGACGATTATGTAATGTTGATAAGAAGAATGACGGTGATAAATGTAAGTTTCAGTGTATGTTTTGGTCTTCTGTCTGAATTCCTAAGATCAATATCTATATGAAAATGTTGTTGATAATTATGGGTTCTAGTTAAGAAAATTATTAAAAAAGTGTGTTTTTTTTTATAGTCATGGCAAATTATTGCAATGGACATGCCATGGCAAGTATTTTAGATAGTTTTACGTTTTACTTTTTTTAAGTGCGTTAAAATATGGGTTAAACTTGCCAAAATCTGACATGATAAAAAAGAAACCCGCAGCTATTGTATATAAAAACAATCCTTTAAATTATAGACAGAAACAAACAGGCATTTAAATCTACTTGTCCCACACAATGTTGTTTTTTTTCTAAAACCTACATGTCACATTTTATTCTATTATAAAAGATCTACATGGCTGCCTTATTGAGACTATATAAAGTGAACGTAAACTACATCAAGTCCGTCACAATCACTCTGTCACTGTGCATGATGTTTTAATATTTTATTAATTTATTATAAATAATAACATAATTATTTTAACTATTCTCAAGCTATGCCATACAAACATAAAATAAAATGTTTATTATTTGATGGGACATACAAATGAATAGCTTTTCAGTTAGAAAATCTATCAAAATGCAGCTGGATAACCTTGAGCCTTTGACAAAAGACTCGCTCATTTGCAGTTAAAGTACCATAAGAAAGAGAATAACAAGGAATTATATAAGTTGATTAAACTAATTTCTTCTATTTAAACGACACTTGACATATTGTCATTGAAACTGAAAAAAACACTTTTACTTGTAATCGTTACACTTATTCTTTTGGTCGTTATTTTATTTCCAGTGTCAAGATATTTTCCAAGTATTACTCTTCAATAGAACATGTCACGGCTGATTTAAATAAACTGGAGTGGACACTTTTATGTCAAGAAAATAAGGAAGATATCACATGGCGTTGACAACATTTTTAATTTAACAGACAATCAAAAATAAAAGTATTTAATTAAGAAATAATTGCTCTGTGTAGTAGATGTGTGTATGTGTCAGACTCTTGAAGTTTTTGAAAAAACATCCTCTTTTATATAGAATTAAGGATGGGGGATAATTTAAATATTTTGTCCTTTTTTATTTGATGTTAAACTCGTTTCTTGAAATATCAGGTTTGGGTACAGGTAGCTCCGAGTATATGACATCATAAGATGTTGAAAGAAGCGGAACATGAATGATTATATAGAGGATATTTGTTTGTTTGTGTGTAAGATGAAATTTTATTTCATCGAGTGGGCTTTAAAAACAGTATTCTCACGAGTGGCGTAGTCACGACTGAGAATACTGTTTTTTTTAAGTTCACGAGATGAAATAAAATTACATCTTACACAACAAACAAACGTATTTTCTTTTTATTTTATGCTAAAAAACAAGTTTAAACAAAATTTCCATAATATTAACGTAAATATTAAAATCTGTTTTCGCCATTGAGAGCCCCATTTAGTCGGAATTTCTCATTAAAAACAAGAAGTCTTGAGCTGAAAAATTAGTCCGACAATCAACGTTAAATGACAGTGATATTATTTATTTTATTAAAAAATATGAATGATCGCTTGTTTTAATAATAAAAACAAACAATTCTTGTAGGAGAAAAAGTCCAACCATCCATCCATATTTTTGTTGCTTACTGCGAATTTATATTAGACCTTGCTTTGTTAAATGTAAGCGGCAGCCTTTTTTTAAAGTTGTGTACTTCAGGGGAGGAAAATAATTGTGTTTGATTCAGAGGGATATCATTTTGATTTGTTAGTCATACACCTTTTTAAAAGAAAGAAAACATATTTGAGGATTGTAACAGACAAAAAATAAGTGTTGACAGATGTGAAAACATTCAAAAAAGGAGCTAGGAAAATGGAAAACTTGGAACTTGCTCAGGAACGCTAGGTGGTTTACTTGTTCTACGAGCTTATGGCTGTCATTGCTTTTCAATTTTTCATAAAGCATACGGCAGTTATTGCTTGTAGGATACTTTAATATGCCCAAATGTCATCAAGAGCAGTTTTGCATGTGGAAGGAATGTATTTTTCAGACTGTAAAAATGAAACAAAAAATTTAGAGACGAACTTTGGTGATTGGAATTTGAATGAATAGAAGTAAGTTTTCTTCTTTTTATTACTTTTGACATTAAAATTACATGTATTTATCAATTTCAGCTTTGCTTTTTCTTTAAACAGCCTGACATTGTCAGAATTGTTAGCAAAAATAAAATTGAGGTACCACGTGGGAAAAATCTTAAAAAAGTAGTTTCGTCATTGAAAAATGTGAAATTATATTTTGATAATTTTCACTGTGAAATTATCAAATATAATTTTCACGGATAAATCAGTAATCCACTGAAAAGCATAAAATAACAGGTTAATACTGAGTTACAAATAATAGATTTTGTCTAAATGAGTTAATTTCAGTAAGGTAAAATTGCAACTACGTGTTGAATGACCCCTTGAAATATAATTCATGTATTGGTAGAAAGCAATCATACAATGTATAATGTGATAATTCCTATGCAATTACCTTAACCACATCCTTATTTACATAACAATATGGAAAATATATTTAAGACTTACACGTTGTAAACGGCGCTTTGAAGCCATATAAATTGTCAAATAGAGGTCAAAATATGCAAAATATACCCTACTACATTGGTCTCGAGCGTAAATATGATGATCATATTTATTTTGTCAATATTTTGCGTTGTTATTTAAGATAAAATCGTTGTCAAATCGTTGATTTAGTTTATGCTTATAAGTAAAAGTCTGGGTTTCTATTGCGTTGGATAAAACCCATATATCACTCATAGTGTTGTAAACAAAGCTTCTGCATATATATAAATATATGACTCTGGATATATCCTTAAAATGTATTGTATATCTTGTTCTTTATAGTCAATTTGTCAAGATGATTACCGCAATAAGATGATATAAATTGCACTGCAATGATGACTCTAAGCTGTCACTTTTTTGTTTTGCCAAGTGTACGCGTAGTTGTTGAATGGTTGGCGTCATTTACTTAACGCGGGTCCGTTTCCCATGCCTTAGTATATGCTGTCCGTTCGAGAAACATATTGCTTTTTCTCACTTACTGATGTGATAAATCATAGCATATTAACTCAAAACTACAAAATATCCTAAGTTTACATGTACGCACATATGTACATAAACCGTTTATGACTTTTTACGTTAATAAAGCCGTCGAAGAACTTATCAGATGACATTCATAATAAAGACGAATATTACCGAAACTTGACCGAACATCATGAACATACAGATTAGTAGAACAAAGTGTGCATAATTGACAGGCCAGTTATATTGTACAAAAATTATTTATAGTAAATTTAAATTTTTCGTAATTCGTGATTTGCGAATAACATGAATAAATAAATAAATAAATAAATAAATAAATGTAGATGCTGGATTTGCAAAACTACATTAGAAAAAAAACACCGATACAAATAATTATATAAACGCTGAAAAACCCAACATGTTTCATATGGGAATTTTACTCTAAATTTCAGGCTGATTAATTTGCAAATCCAGCATCTACCTACCTACCTACCTACCTACCTACCTACATAAATCCTACCTACCCACCTATCTATTATTTATTTGTACTGGTATGGTAATAAGTCAAAATGTAAAATCTAAAATATTCAAGAAAAGATAGAATGACCTTTTTAATTAATACTGCTGTATGTATAAGCTTTACATGTGGCGGTAATGGTGGGAAGTTTAATTAATATTTTCAACTTCTGTTTATTTTGTATGGCTTTCTACGTATGAGGCAATTCTGTTTGTGGTTTATACAACCGCACATGAGGCAATATCTTGATATACGTTTTACAGATTTGCTACTTTTCTTTTTTCTAAATATCTACACAGTATGAAATAAACTGAATGAGAGAAATGTACATAAAAGTTTGTCGTAAAATATAATATTATTATTTCGATATTTCTTCAATCAAGCAACGTTGTCAGGATTGGTAAGTGAGGTTGTCCCCTGACAAAATATTTTTGACAATATTACGTAGCCCGATAATGCGCCCTAATAAAGAAAAAGCCAAAATATACTACCGCCACTTGGTGTCTCATTTGACATAGACAAATGTACTTGTATATTTCTAATGGATTAACATTTTCTTATGATGGCTTACAATTGATACGGTTACGGTACTCTTGAGCAAAAATTGTGTTATAAACCGATTATAAAAAATAAAATTGTGAACTACGTTCTTAATAATTTTAATATTAAATTTTGCATGCCATTTACGTACTAAGGTAAATGTATAGGATTTCATGTCAAGAAAAACGATGATCCAGTTACATCCGTGTGACGTAGCATATTTAATGATGCTTTTACTAACGTCAAATAAAACGACGTCACCAAAAATGCTCAAAAGCGTTATAAATCAAGTTTTCATTGTCCAAAAATAATCAAATTTGTATTAAATGATTCAGAAGAATTTGCATCTTGAGAGTATTTGAAAAAAGTAAAATGTCTAATTTGACCACTATTTTGGAAATGTCATGTCACGACTCATATGTGTTATTATTATCTACTTTTCTTTTCACAAGTTACAGTAAGTGACATCATTAAATCATGTAACATCGAAAGAAATAGTAATTCACGACAGGTTAAATCTTTACTCACATTTTATTGCCTACACATATAAGTTTATTGGAAGATGACGGCCGAGAGCGGTGCTTTTACTTTAAGTATTTCATCATAATTGTGAAGGATTTAGGATAGGACCCTAGATAATGTTGGTATAGCTTTTGGTCCAACCCTTTTGTATGTAGATTATAATTATGCTTAAGATAATGATGTTATATTATGTAAATTTATCATGTTCAAAATATACAATAATAATTATTAAACTAAGGGTTTAAACATACAATAAATAATATAACGAAAGCACTTACTCGGAATCTTCCGTTGGTACAAGATGACTGTCAAATATATGAGTATAGCAAAGATAAATATAATAACCACTGCCATTATCCATAATATACATTTTACTCGGGTCAATGAGTCTTTCGTTTGTGGGGATTCAATCCTCCCTTTTTTAACCTCCACCTCCTCGTAATCATGATGCTTATCCATTTCTATATTTTCTGTCGTCTGTAATTTGCTATGTTTTATAGATGAACGGTCTGACTTTTGAATCACATCAGAATTGTTCTTTACATGTGTGTCAACGTACATGTCTTTACTTTTATCCTTCAACACATTCTGAACTTAATAAATCAAACATATTCCTTATATAAGTTACAATAAAACCTGAAGTGTTGAGTTTAATTATTGCTACCTTTTAGGTGTGATAAATGTATTCTTTATCTAATATATCTTTTATTACTGCTTTGTTCCTAAACGTATTTGTAGACGAGCAAACTGGTTTTGATATTTATCTTGCACGCGATGTATATTAAATCATTAATGATTTAAAAGATAATTAAATTGAACAATTCTATGCAGTTACACGTTATCGACCATGCCTTAGTACATTTAATTTTTTGCACGGGAAATAGTAGGATATGTTTATGATAACGGTTGACAGTACAAATAAACCGTCATTCGATCATGGTAATTTTGAGTTTGGCTGCATGTAAATGAATGGTTAGATATGCTGCTTAAGATAGAACTGGGGGTATAGACTTTCAGAAATTTTAATGTAGGCCTTCTCAAAGCAAAATTAATTTTATATTAAATATATATTTAATGCATATACTCTGAATATTAGTTTGATAGATAATTATCATAAATTTTTCTTTGTTTTCAAACAAAAGTTATGACAATAAGATTTTTTTATATGCGGACCTGTTTATGTATTAGATAAGCCACTATTGGTGTAATTTTGCTGAATAATTGTATCATGGCTTCTTCTCCTCGTCATCTGGTTCTTTATGTTAATGATGTAACGTAATTAAAAAATCATACTCTGTTTAAATCTACAAAACGAACATTATTGTTGTCTACTGCATTGCATATATCACATTAATCTATAGATTACTGCATGTTCAAGGGGCGTCCGCGGCCGAATGGCTAGGGCCATTGACTTCAAACCAAGTGTCCATCACCGTCTAGGGTTCGAATCCCGCCAGGGATGTTGGATGCTTTCACGGAAGGAGGCTATCTAGCTAGATAAAGGAACGTCGATGTTTCTACTCAGCTGCCCGTTCGTGCCTGACATAATGGACGGAGGTGCATCTGATGTCTTCCTTTGTAGTTGATGGAATTTGGTAAAAAGAAATACTTCTTAAAACATTACTTAAAGGTACTTATCAAAATTATTTGCAATATCAATACAGGGCTCCTTCAATATCTCAACTAAACGAAAGAAACGATAAACGATTAAATTATGAGTCAGAAAAGACAAGTACAATGGAATTTTTCTACTTCTTCCTCTTTGTTAACCCTTAATGGTCTGACAATTTTGTGGTCAACACGTTAAGTATTTAGATAACACTTAATTAACCCGTTCATTATGTGGTTAATGCGTTACATGACACTTTAATGTGTTTATTGAAATATATGTCTTAACCGATACAAAATGACAGATTTATTTAAATTCATGCTCATGTGAACGTAATTTGATCTCATTAGTTGTGTACGTGATTTAATCTAATTAATTCTGTACGTAATTTGATCTTTTAGTTTTATTAAAAAATGACTTGACGGACAGATGTGTCTGATTGTTACTGAAAGTTAAGTTATATATTTAATTAGTGTAATAGATTAACCGATTAGTGTTATGATCTCATTCCATTTAAAAAAAACTATTGTAAAAACCTACGAAGGTTTATGCGCTTTGATTTTATTATTTACTCTTGTTTATCATTTCATGGGTTTCATCTATTATAGTCAAATTATATTAATTTTGACACCATTTTTTATCTATTTCTTCTTACTTTTTAAAAATCTTACTGAAATAATAAAATATAAATAAGTTATCATGCACCAGAAAATGGATTCAAAAAATTGTTATTTTTACAAGAGAATGTTCTACAACATGAAATGCTAATGAAAATAATTATGATACATTCCCGGTATCATTGGTGTCTTTCTGAATACTCTTTTTTTTCTGGGTATGTTTAGTTTCGGGCAAGAGTTGTTTTATCAAATAGCTAACATAATAATGTATCTGTTAGTCTATATGTTATTTATTAAGATTATTATTTTGTTGTTACAAATGTTACCGTGGTAAAAATATTGTAAATAATAAATCTTTTGCATAAAGACAAAAAAAATATCATCTAAAACCCTACTTTCATGAAAACATGCATACAGTTTATACTTAAACGCATTTTATAAAATTGAAATATAGAAAAGTGTTTGATAAAGGATAAATGACAACTTAATATGATTTAAATTTATTGTATTCAATACAATTTCATGCCGGAGTTAAACACAAATTTCCTTCATTACGCACATTTTATGTTAACATGCATAAATTTGGCTGGTAATAAGTACAATTTTAGTAGAGGCTCTACAATGTATACAAAATTATAGTGAACAAATATATTGATGCTTATAGTTTGCTCACGCATAAACCACAGCTAAATTTATAATGTTACAAAAACAACTAAATTTCTTAGTATATGAGTAAACCACTGTAAACCGCGGAGAGTCACGGTAATTAGATTCGTTCCCTATGTAGCAAATAGTTATAACAATTTTTGAACCAACTACAAGTATGGAAATGATTACAATAAAAGAGGTTATAGATAATTTAATATATAACTGACAAGTGATGTACATTTATATACGTCCTCACATTCAAATTTATTACGATTCGTCTCTTAACTTAAAAGTTTAAAGGTGTTTTACTATTGGATAACATTTATTGATAAACAAAACGCTTTGCTGCGAGTAATTAATATTAATAAAAGCAACATTAATCAATGAATAATTCGTTTAATATGAGAGGTGAGTACACCTTTACGAGTATAATAATAACTGCAAATTGGCTTTGAGTAGCCGCTTTTTCATGTAGAGACCAGTGCTGATAGTAATAAGTGTGATTGGCATATTTTGATAAGGCGAGTTGAAAAACGCGATAGCAATGTGAGGATACATTCAAATTTATTACATAGATAATACAGTGTAGCATGCAAAGAAAAATAATTACACAGTAACTTTTTGATATCCTTTAACTAAAAAGAAAAATTTCTCTTTTAAATTGCTATTTATATTTTCTAGAGAAACTAAGCAAAACATTATTTTGTATCATACAAGACCGAACTGAATTAACAATCCTAGATATTATGAAGATGTGAATACTCATTGTTTTACATGCCAGCTAAAGTAATTGGACCCCATCCACTTGTATACCTTATTAAGGGTGCGTGTTTGTACGTGACTGCTGGGGAAAACAATGTCATACTTGATTAAAGTTGTGACACTTTCTCTATTTTTATCTGATATCGAGTTGAAAGAGCCAATTTACAGTTATATGGGTAATGGTATGGTAAAGGCCTCAACAGACGGTTGGGTTTTTACAGTACAACACCAATTAAAACTAAGATGTACAAGCAAATCTAAAAGTGTGATGGCCACTATTTCTTGAATTCATACTTAATTGAAATCAGCCGATTAAGTAAGAATCACTAAATTTTTATTTAGCATTCACCTCATTAGCATCAAGTTCCAGCTTCTATTATCTACTTAAGATGTCATATACACAAAGATACCTGTAGCAAAAACTTGCATGTTCAATAAACAAATTTAACAGAACTTATAAAACGAGACAAAATATGTTGTTTTATATATTATTTTCTCTTTTTTTTATTTTCTTTTATTTTCAAATTTTATATAAAGCAGGACTGGATTTAAACAACACTAAGCGTCTTACCCACGCATAAGAGTAAATAATTAAGATACTATAATTGTTCTGCGGACTTTATTATACATGTATACACTTATTTGGAGTGTCAATTATATTTAACAATTATATATACGTGATAAAATATCTGTCGTATTCTATTTACATGAAAGTGGTTTTTCCAATTGATCAAGTGAAATACTAAGAAAACATCTTGACACTGGAAATAAAACAATTAGTATCATTAAAGAGGCACTCGGATAAGATAAAATTACTCATACTTGCTTAAATTATTTCGGATTTTTGTGGTAACATTTAATTTTGTTATCTAGGAAACATCAAGATATGTTTCTTAATGGCACTGTCGCGTTTCCATAAGTGTACCTTACAAGTATGCATGTACACATTAATATCGGCTTCATAATTTTCAAACATATTGATATATATAATTATATATATATCAAATGTTTGAACGTTATCAATAGATAAATATCATGAACAAACGATATAGAAGAAGTGTATGTTTAATACTGAATTTATTAAACGAGTTGAATAAAATTATAGTATGCGAGCCCCTTACTGTATGGAATTTACCAGAATTTAATATTCTATTTATCACATACAAAAAATATAGACGGTTTGAAGTGAAAAAGAACCAATTATCATTAACACGCCTATATTATAACGTACATTCAGCGGGTCTTACCGTTTATTTATATGCTGAATATGGCGTCAGGTTAAAATATATGCACGGCCGTGCAATACCATTTTTACGGAGTCGTAAAAACGACACGGGTAAGTAATAAACACTGGCTATAATTTACTGAGTGTACCAGAAATGTTCGGTTAAATGCACGTGATTCTGGGATCGAGAAAGTTATTGGTAGCCTCGTCATTTTAAACAAAACTTATATGTAGACTGTCATTTGTTACTTGGTAAATTCTTATTTTGAAGACGCTATTCAGTAGAGAATTAATGAAAATGCTCAAAGAAGTGTTAATTGGTTAGTGTGGGGGTGAGTTCATAGCCCTCAACTTTCCAAGAAATTTAACAAGAATTTTTTTTTCCGAAACCCCTTTAGTTTATGTTTTTATTTCCGATGTGAATACGTTTCAGAAATATGTTTTATATTATTATACTGATTTCATAATGGCCAATGAGATTCCCTGATTTCCATTTGTAAATTTAAAGTGATCAATATATATGTAGTATAAAGATACTAATATTCAGTTCTTTCCAGTAAATTTAACAGGAAGTCAAACCTTTCTCAGTCGGACTTCGTCCGAAAAAGAAATAGTTATAGTATAGTGACGAGGCTGTTATGTGCAAAAATCATGGTCCGATTTTAGACATGAAATATGCTGAAAAAGTGTAAATACATGTTTGTGGGTATTAAACAGTATGAATTGGCAAAAAAATGAATGGGAAAAAGCGAACAAGGCGTAATTAAGCTAGAAAACAGTGTTGAGTGTATATTGCCGTTTTTTGTCTGTACATACTTCGGACGCTTTCAAGGATCTATCGATGTTTTTTATGTCATATTATCTGTATGCACTTGACATGTTAATAAATCACAGAAATATTATTATTTGATTTTAAGCTTTACTAGTTCATGCTATTCTGACAAATGACTAAAAATGATAGATCAAACTATTTATTTCCTCTAAAGGAAATAGGTAATTCAGAAGTAAATCTTTATTCTCTATTTGCAAGAAGGTTGAATTTCGTACAAAAAATCCGTATTTTGGTAAAATACAAACTTCATGCTACAAAGTTTTCGTATATTACGGATAACTGTATATTATTTATATACGAACTCGCATAATATACGGTACCGGTCCCGCACACCTCCGTATTTTAATTTCCCGTATTGGTCTCAACCTGGTACGTAATTAGACCGGACCCGTTGTAGTCTAGAAAGTAGTTCTTATAAATTTCAAAGTGGTCAAATTTTAGTAATCTCTAGCTGGATTGGTCATAATTAAAGTGTATTTATTGCATCTGTGTAGTTTTTTGTGTTATATTGTGACTTAAAAGTTATTTTTTGTGTATCCTCTAGGACCTCATTTGTTGGCGGAAGGATTAAAGATGTACTACCCACCACTACTCAGGAGTTTTAAGTGGTGAATTTTAACAGTGTTAAAACAGAATGAAGGTTTCTGAAAAAAGTAGATGGCTAACACATTATAGTTCGGGCATCATTTGACTTATATAGTGTTGATGTATAAAGTTGAAGACTGTATATTATTCATCAAAAACAGTTGAATCCAGAATTAAGCCTCAAATGTGACTAATTTACTATAGAACAAAGAGTACGTACAATACCCTATATCGATACATTTTTCTTAGTAAAAGTAGAATCATTGAAAGAAAAAGGAAGTTTAAAATGTTAAGATGTTCATAAAATTATTGTCCATCCTGTGATGGCCTGTGGTTTATAATATATAAGTATTATATAAAAAGGAAGTAAATTGATGGTGGAAGTTTTCATAGTTTTTCCTTATCACATCAGTAAGCCACTTTGGATTCATAAGAGACAAGTTCAGCCACCGCATGTGATAATAATATATTCAGTTTATAAAACCTAAAATGAAATTTGGTAAAAGTAAAGCGGATCTTCCTGGATCAAGTGATTCTGCTTTGTACGAAAACACAAATATTTTGCCAATTAACACTTTTGCCGGAACACAGATAACGAATATTGAAGAGGAAGATTATGAAACAATAGATGTAACAATAAAACCAAAGGAAGTTCGGGATTCACATGAAAGAAAAAAGAAAAACGCGTCTACTGATGCAATAGAACCAATAGAAGTTCCGGATTCACATGAAAGAAAAAAGAAATGCGCGTCTAATGATACTCTAAAGCGACTGAAATGTAGGTTTAATGTAATGATAGTGCTGATTACTTTTGTTAACATCACTCTGGTATCGTTGGTTATAGTCCTCTTTGTGACAAAGAGTTCAGGTAAGTGTTTTTGTAGCTTGCATGAATCATTTTTACGCCTTTTAATTTAATAAATATCAAATATGTGTAAATTGATCGATATGGTATTATAAAAAAATCATTCAATAAAACTTCTCTTCTGATCATTTATATCACTGTATTAATTTAAAATCTCACTATACATCTTAATATTTTAATTATCATAAAAATTCAGTCGATAGTCATTGGGCACAATGGTCAAGCTGGACCTCGTGTGACGTAACATGTGGTAAAGGAAAACATCTACGGCTACGAACGTGTACAAATCCATTGGCTACGACAAATGACTGTATTGGAGAAAGCTTGCAGACTGGTGAATGCACAATTGGCAACTGTACAGGTTTATTAACTTTATCAGTCATTTTGGATACTTTTGAAATTCACTTTGCTGAGAATATTTTGATAGTAACATGAATTTACATAGCTTTAATATTCAGAAATAATTTATAATCCGCAACGGAATGAGGCAAATGGAGTTTTAACAGTTGACTCGAGAGTATGGTGGGGTTATTTAGTTACAAATTTTATACACTTTATATACAGAAATAACAGATACACCAAAACAAAACCACCATGCCACGCGGCAATCTCCCGGATATTTTACTTCGGTAAGGGCTTTTAGCTTTTTTTCGTGTAATAAATACCCTCCGAACTTGAAAAACGGAATCAGGCAAATGGTAAATAAATTTGATGTTTGAGATTTTATGTACTTAAAAAGAAATAATCGCCGGCCTCTTCTATCATTTTGTTTGCGTAAGAGCTTTGAGTCTTACTTTGTTGTGGAGAAGATAGCTCTTGCAAATCAATACAACAGTCTTGATCATTTTAAAGTACGTACACTAAGCGTTCATTTAACAATGGTTAATTGTGCATGACGTCAATTCCTACAAGCCCTTTTTGTCACTCCCAAATTAATCAAATTATATAATGTTTAAAATCTTTACTAGAAGTGTTTTATCTCCATGATTTTGCTTTGGAAATTTAATTTTCGGTAGTTATACAGATAAAAGTAAATCGACAAAGATACGCGGAACTCCATCAGAAATATTAATTGGATTAGGGTTTTTGTCATCATATTGTGCAAAGCAGACTCTCTGAACTAATACAAAAACTAATCTGCGACGTAATGGGCAAATGATGTTTAATCGGTTGTCTCGAGAAAGTGATGTTTTCTTACGACGATTTATACATTTTATGTATTTATGTATGGAAAGAAAAAATATCCGGTCCAAAAAAATGACCGTTTTATGCAAGTTTCATATATCATTCTCATTGCATAAGAGCTTTGGTCCCTACATTGCTGTGAAGAAGATCCTGAAAATCAATACAATATACTTGTACATTGCATTATTTTTTTAAGTACATTGCATTATTTTTTTAAGTACGTAGCGTTCGTTACAGTAAACTCCACTTATAGCGAACACGGTTATAGCAAATTTCCGGTTATAGGGAACAATTTATTTTGACCCGAATTTTGCCCTTCTTTATTTAATATAAAACTATATGGTTATAGCGAACACGGTTATAAGGAATTATCGCTTATAAGGAACTCATTTCTTTGTCCCAATTTAGTTAAAAGTGCAGAAAATTACACTTTTATAACGAACTCCAAAATATTGGCTATCCGTAAATAGATCCTGCATTTTTAACTCTCATTTTCATTGGTACGGATAAAAACTCGGCCGAAAGTACCGTTTATTGTTGTATGTACTTCAATACATCTATTAAAATGAATTTGTATAGTTTTCTATTTAGGATATTTTTAGCATGAGCTCTTTTCACCAAGATAAAATGGTCATTTATTTCTTTTCTTCAATAGGTTTGCTCGAATAAAATAATAATAATAATTTATAATCGGTTTTCAACATAATCACGCATGCTTGCAAGCATGCTGCATTGCAAACTGCAAAGTACGTATGATTTAAATGAAAAGAAATCTATATCTTACATTACTAAAAGTCACCCTTAAATTATAATAGAAGATATTTAATATAAAAGGAAGGAAAATCGAAAATCTTGTTTATTCTTAATCATGGAAAGAAAACGAAAAGAGTTTAGAAACAAAATGTTATGAGAAATTGAGATAGAGAGTAAAACTAAAACTGAAATAGCAATGATTTTCAAATTCCAAAAAGTACGCTCTCGGGTATTTTGTCTAAAATAGAAACAATGGACTATTTTTTCTTAATCAAATACTCTTCAAAATGGCGGACAATGGTAAACAATCAGTTCGTTATATGTAAATCTGTTCGCTATAAAAATCTCCTGATACAAAGAACTAATTCGCTATATGCTTACAAGGAACTCCGGATATAAGGAACAGATTTTGAATGTCCCAATGAGTTCGTTATAAGCGGAGTTTACTGTATATAATGGCTAGCTGTGCATGACTTTGTTACTTTATAAGAACGTGCTGAAAAGCAAGTTTCTATCACACACCACTTAACTACAATCTAATAAAGTTGTAAGACCCCGGTATGGTGATCATATTTTCGAGCCAACGGTTTACTTATTCCGTTGCAGATTTGTTTTAGAACAAGTGTGGATAGTCTTCTTTGCACAATATGAGGACCAAAGCCCTAATCCAAGCAATATGTCTGAGAGGTATCAAAGTGACTGGATCGTTTCGAACCGGCGATTTGCTTTTATCTTTATAACTGTGAATCGACTGAACATTTCCACAAGTTAACAAAAGCTTTCTATACAAAGATTTTCATTATTTCGAAATAATCTATTCTATCTTTAACAATATTTAGGTACAAAATAAAAGTATTTTGTATAAATACTCTCTTAATTTTTAGCCGATAGTCAGTGGTCACATTGGTCAAGCTGGACTTCTTGTGATGTTACGTGTGGACAAGGAATTCATCGACGTTCTAGAACATGTACAAATCTTGTTCAAGCAAATGATGTAATCGATTGTCCTGGGGAAAATTTTCAAGTCGGTGAATGTTCAAAAGGCAGCTGTCCAGGTCCACATTTTACAACTCTATAATATAGAAAGTAACAAAATGAGTGTTAAATCCGTTTGGATTTGTTAGAATTCTTATTATATATGTAATATTCTATTTTTACATCAACATAGGTAAATAGCCAATAACGGCGTCAAATAAGATGCTTTACATCTTTTTGAGTTGATATATGATTTAAAATGTACAGTTTTTACTCTGATTGACTGGTCTTTCTTGCATATGAGACATAATAACTACTTTTTACACCGGTGTTATACACCCCCATGTAAGACAGGTCGCAGGTGTTAAAAGGCGTCATTCCTAAGCGCCTTTTTGAATGAATTGCGTTCTTTGGACAACGTCAAATTGCCGTTATGAATGAAGTTGTAAATTCATACGCTTTTATAAAAAGTGCTAAATGAAAATATTAGTTTTCGTAATTTTTTTTTTCCTAAATACAATTATCTTGTAATATGCAATCAAAAGAATCAAACAACGGCTGTCGTCACAATCTTAAATATCAAGCTGTCGGGTAATTGTTTAGCCGAAAAACGACAGAGGCTCGTTAATGCCGTAAACAGATACCTCGAGCTAGAATTTCCAGTCTGTTCCGGTAGCAGGTGTAAGAGTATTATAATGTAAGCGTATGGAAAGAATTTTGTAAGGGATATTATTTTGAGAATTACGACAATAATTATCATAACATTCTATAAAAATCCAACTGTGCATCCTTATAAGCTTTTTAATAAACATTTGTAAGAAGAAAATATTATACAAAGCGAGTTTTATATACTAACGTGTGGTTATTTTCTACAAAATATAATATGATCAACATAAACAACAAATGGATTATCTCGAATATATGTCAAAACATAAATTGTAAACAATACCTTGCATTCATTTTTAAGTATGAATGTTTCAATGTCGAGTCAAACGTTTTGTTTTCAAGTCGATGGTCAGTGGGCATATTGGTCCAGATGGACATCATGTGACGTCACATGTGGCAAGGGAAGGAAATTACGGACAAGAAGATGTACAAATCCAATGCCCGAGAATAAAGGAAAGGATTGTATTGGAGAAAGTTTACAGAGTAGTCAATGTTCAGAAGTAAACTGTGCAGGTGAAGAATTATAGATGAAATTCCGCGTCAATTGTGCCTGCTGCTAAACTTGAGTAACGGTTTTCGTTTTTAAGCTTTTACATTTTTTTACATTTTAATACTTAACGTATTAGGTTTTACACCTTTTAACCAACTGACGGAAAATTGAAATAATTTAGCAGAAATATCAACCATTATTAGATGATATGCAGTGCGTCAGTTCTGGCCTTCTCGAATCAAACTCAAACTTAGCCATTATAAATGAATTTCAAAATTTCGAATCCACACTGTATCTTTTGATCCGATTAAATAAAAGTAAAGCTTTATGACAGAAATATGACAAATACTGAGCCGATATGCAGACCGCAGCCAAATATGACCAAGATTCGGTTTTCTCGGATCAAGATCAAAATCCTTTTGTAAGAGTGTATGTTTCGACCGCAAATATTATTTTTTAATTTCCGGCAAACTTAAAAATCACTAGTTTAATCTGATAAATGTATTATTATTGAGAAGATTTGCAGCAGGTTTTAGTAACATTATATTTAGAATTAAGGAAATTATGATAACGAAATACCATTATAAACCCTCTTTGCATTATTCCGTTGATCCTTTATAACATATTTCATACAAATTTGTGAGAGGAAATAGCATTAATACTAAGAGATTTAAAATTCATTTAACTTGCCAGAGATTTGTATTTAAATAAGGGAATAATTATCGTCTAACTTAATAAAATGTAGTCTACCTTTTCACTAAACAGAATTACCATGCGCTTTAATATTGAACGTTAAGGTTTTATATAGCATGAAATTATTTTCTACGTAAACAGTACGCTGCATTCATTCTTGTTTAAGCCTGCAAAATGTATATGTCGTATGAATGGATTTTTTATTGCTAGTAAATGGTCAGTGGGCATATTGGTCCAGTTGGACTTCTTGTGACGTAACGTGTGGCAAGGGAAGGCGCTTAAGGACAAGAAGATGTACAAATCCAATGCCCGAGAATTACGGAAGGGATTGTTTTGGAGAAAGTTTACAGAGTAGTCAATGTTCAGAAGAAAAGTGTCAAGGTATTGAAATATATATAATAACGCACCAACTTTGCTTGCTTAAAAATGATGTGCCTTCCATTTTATAACTCTTGCTGTCTAACTATTTTATACCCCCAAATCATTTCGTCGTATAATGTTCTGCATCCGTCTGCTCTGTATCTTTTAAACAGATTTAAGGAAATTGAAACTAAAAGTCAACTATAATAGATTATAGCGATAAGCATATCGTAGGTTTAAGCTTTTTGTAAACATGGCATTTTTGATTTTGATTACTTTTTGGGATATAATTTGTGCTTTTGAAATGTTATATTATAACATTACACCAGAATTAAATTCAAAAGCATTTTTTATGATATTGCTTAACGTCGCAATATGTAAAAGATATCTATGCTTAAAGCATAAATTAGCATATCTATTTAGTCGTCTTGTAGGAAAAGCACAATCCAGTTAGCTTAAATTGGTAGAGCATTTCACTGTGAATAGGACGACGCGGGTTTGACTCCAGGAATGTGCGGGTTACTTTCTTTTTGAATGATTACGAAATCCTTTCTACGGTAATTCGAACTGTTCCTCTGCTCTGGTATGTACAGAAGTCAGAAGTATTTTCTCTCCCTTACAAAACTGAAGGCACTATCTAGTTGTAAACTCTTTGACAGCCTGACCAGGAACAATGCGGTGGCTGGCTGTTTCTGGTGAATGTAAATGCTTACTGCTGTGATCCGAGGTTATACATTCACTACAAAAACCACCACCACCTTCTTGTGGCAAGATAATTGTTACTTGGCATGAAACAATATAGATCTCAACAAAAGCTAAATGAAATAATATGCTCTTGTTATAGAAAAGGAGAAATTTCATTTCAAGTGGTTGTTGTTGTGTTTTCAAGCATCGTTGATGAATACTTTTTTTAAACAATCAGTAAAATATAATGTTATAAGTTGTATGATTGTTTAGGCGGATGGCCTTAAATATTATTATCGTATTTATACATACATGTATATCATATTAATTTAGAGAGAAATAGAATTTATATAGGAAGTCTAAATCGGCAAAATTGAAAATGGTGCAGGCTCGGTTTGATTGAGCCTGTTCATGGACAGCACTGGAAGGTGCATACTAATGTCCACGCCCCCTAGCACTGACTTAAGCAGTATTCAACATTTAAACATGTAATGGTAAAAATTTGAATTTAGAATCATCCACAGATGTTTTCATACGGCGGTGATCATGGAACCTTCAATGGGACACGTAAGTGCCATTCCATGAAAAGCGGCGTATGGTCCCCACGTGAAAAAATGAGTGTGCCCTAAACGAGAAAACAATTGGCGGAACTAAACCAAAATGGAATTTTGAAAAGGGATCAGAGGTTATGAAGCCTGTATATCACAGATAAACGGTCAAAGGACCATTTTTAAAAGCAGGCCACAAATCCTAAGGGTGATTGTATAGTATTCAAGTATGGACTACTGGAACCACCCAAGCAGAAAAAGCCAAATTGAAAGAACTAAAATACCACAAACACAACAATGATGTCATGTTGAACGACATTTAAGGGTCATTTTCATTTTTTTTCATTTCATTTTGCCAATAACGTGTATGATATATTTTTTTATTTCAGCCATTATGTCTGCATTTTCTGTGACGAAACCTGATTCCTTCAAAACGATCGACGGAAATATCAAACTTAATTTTTCAAGTACCATTTACCAGTATGGTAATGATTTTGATATTTCGACAGGAATTTACACCTGTCACATACCCGGCGTGTACCATTTTTCTGTAACATTGATAAAGAAACGGGCATCATCAAGGGTTGATCTTGTTTCTTGTACTCTTTACAAGAATAGACAGAGTCTGATTGTCATAAAAGTTGATCCAACCGACGATGATACAGACAAAGGCAATGCTGCTATCTCTCAGTCTATCGTGATAAATCTTGATGTTAGGGACATTGTGTACCTTTCTAGATGCAGCAATGCAAGCACAAACATGGAGGCTTGGTCTTCCTTTACTGGAGTTCTCCTATATGACAACAATTAAAGCTGTTGTTAGTCCAGAAAATAGTGATCTTTACTAAAACTGTTTAGGAAAATAACAATATGCTAAGCATTTAGTGGCACTGTTATAAAAAAAATAATGAAGTGAGTTTATCCTGTAATGAAACTAAAGCCACACGACAAAGTTATAGATATATTTGGTAAATTAAGTTACTTAAAGTAATACCTTTATGCTTAGTAGCTCTTATAGTAGACTTGACGAGGCTTATTACAGTACTGGTTTTAACAATTTTGTCTGAAGCTTTGTTTTGTTAAATGCAACGTAATCAGGAAGAGAGAGAGAACTTTTAACTAATTAAAGAGTGTATTGTTAACAATTGATGGGCTGATGCTTATTTCTCACTTATTGTATTTTTCATTATGTTATTGAAGAACTTGTGTATTTATCAAATAGAAATATTTAAGAACAAAACTTAGACTTCAATCTCAGTTGTAACAATATCACAACCCATAGTCAACGGACTTCTGAATCTACACCTATGCTCAAATATCGTAAGTTTTCTATTTTAATTTATCCTTTACTTTTTCCTCTGAAGTAAATATCTTATTGCTATATTTAATTATTATATCATTCACATATGGCACCTGTTTTTTGTTACATTGACGGCATTGCTGTCAATTCGAATAATCTCAGTGATCGTGTTCAGCTGTTATTTTTGTCGTAGCACTGTGAATATAACCGCAACACAAGGGTATGAAAGTAACAAATGAAATGGGAAATAATAACGCCGAATCTGTGCAATATTGTAAATAAACGGATCAATATGTGCATAGTGAATCGATTTTAAACATAAGGCAGCTTAAACTATATATAATATAAAATGCTCGAAAATGTTTGCTTTTTTCAAGATAACTCGTATATATCCTTTTTTCAAATTTATATAAAGCAGGACGGGATTTCAACAACTTTAAGCGTCTTACGCACACATAAGAGTATATAATTAAGAGTTGACAATTATACATTAAATGACTTGTATACATGTATACACTTATCAGGAGTGTCCGTTATATTAAACAATGGTATCACCGTGATGTGATATCTGCCTATATTAAAGTGTTGTTTCTCCAATTTGTATAGCAGCCGCGACATGTTACATTAAATTAATTGAAGTACTTAATACATCGTGACACCGGAAATTAAACAAGAAGTATCTTTAAAGAGACACTCGAACACAATAAAAATACTTATATTTGCATGAGTTATTTCGGATTTTCGTGGACGCGTTTAATTTTTTGATCGGGGAAACTTCAAGATATGATTCTAAATGGCACTACCGCGTTTCCGTATGTGTACTTTACAAGTATTCATGTACACATTAATATGGGCTTTACAATATGCAAATATATATCAAAATTTTGAACATTATATCATTTGAACCATCGATAATCATATGATATATCATAAAAGGAGGATATTGAATGAGTGTAAGTTAAAAACTGAATTTATCAAACGATTTTTGAATTAATAAAATCGTATTATGCGTGCCCCTGGCAAGCATACTATTATGTTATTAAACGAGTTCAATAAATTTAGAATTAAACTTAAACGAATTTAATATTCTATTTATCACATACAAAATATAGACATGGTTTGAAATGTAAAAGAACCAATTATCATTTACACGCTTATTACAAATATATATCGCTTACATTTAGCGCGTCTTACCGCTTTGTTTATGTAACGAAAATGGTGTCACACTAAAATATATGAACGTCTGTGCAATACCATTTTTACGGAGTCGTAAAACGCCACAGGTATGTGATAAACACTAAACATTATATACTGAGAGTACCAGAAACGTTCGGCGATGTGCACATGTGATTCTGGGATCGTGAAAGCTATTGGAAGTATCGTCATTTCAGACAAAACTTATGGAATGTCATTTGTTACTAGGTAAATTCTTTTGTTGAAGATGCTATTCACTAGAGGATTAATAAACATTCTAAAAGCAATGAAATAGGTTATTGGGAGGACGTTCACAGCCCATAACTCTCTGAGATAGTGATACTTTCGATACTCCTTTTATTTATTTTATTATTGCCGATGTGAATACGTTTCAGAGAGATCCTTTACATTATTATGCTTATTTCATAATGGCAAATCAGATTCCCTGATTTCAGTTTGTAAATTATTTCATATTTACCAATACAAAACCTACTTATATTCTGTTATTCCCTGTTAGTTAACGGAAAGTCAAACCCTTCTTAGCAAGATTTCGTCCAAAAAGGTAAAAGTTATAGTACAGCGTGCAAAAATCATGGTCCGATTTTAGGCATGAAAAATGCTGAAATGGTGTAAATGCATGTCTGCGGGTATCAAACAGAATAAATAAGCAAAACATTAATAGCCAAAATGCAAACAATGCTTACTTGAGTTGCATATCTTTATGCAAATAAAGAAATATTTTTAAATGTTCGAATGTATTGTTGTTGTTTTTTCCTGTACATACAGCGGACGTTGTCAAAGATCTGTCGATGTTTTTCATGTCATATAATCAGTATGCACTTGACATGTTTATACGAGGGTTTTTTCAAAATGTATTAGGACTGCAGCTCTACTGCTAATATTTTTCAATATACGTACACAATTTTAAACGAGACAAATACTGGAACATGTTTTCTATATATAGTGAAAAAATCAATACAAACTGTTTACAAATAACAATTCTGTGAAATTTTCAAATTACAAGGGGTACGAAACCCGGCGCACGCTAACAAAACAATAAATGACGTACAGGACATCGTTGGATAAAAACAAAATGTTACAAGCGTCATTCTTTCAGAAAGAAGTGTCCCTAGTGCTCTATGTGTCTGAATCATGTAATCATGACCAGGCGACCGGACTTCAAATGTGAAGATGTAGCGAGAAATAAAGCGATCACCTCTTATTCCACTTTAAAAGAAAACAATAAAAATTCTCGATAGCCGTCCATTTTCCACTTTTCTCGTACATTTTGGGTAATCTGGAAACTCAACAGGCACGAACTTAATATCTTAATGCAAACATGGCAAAAACGATTTCTATTATTAATGTACACATCTCATCCTATAGTTTTAACAATATGATTGAAAACAGTAACATAACGATATTTATCCCTTTTCTACTGAGTACAGTAAACCAAATTTGGAAACAATACTACTCATTATTACAGTAAATGATTTTTATAGTAGTTTATTGATACCACGTTTAGTGTTCAAGACAAATGTCTCATGTCAGAACAGAATAAGCTGACCTGGAGCAGACATAAAAAAATCACGGACAGTTTGCAAACCGTTGTTACGCCTTTAACAATTGACGCCATAACTTCCAGTCAATTTTTCTCTTTCATCATTGCCCCTTCCTGTTCGTAATCTTCGTAAAACGAGTGTTTTAATGGCAGGATAATTGTTCTTTGTTAATTGAATCATTTTGTATGTATCTGAAGAAGTATAGCCAACCTGTCCACAAAATTGAACGATCAATGAATTTTCTGTTTGTTAACGAATGTCATTCTTCTACCTTTAACGCTATGACCGCTACTGTTCAAATTTGTATAATAAAGTCATTCTGTTCCGAATTACGCCATATTCGAACATAATGTCCCTTAAATATAATTTAAACAGGTTGATGGAATATTGGAACAAACAAATAATATGTTATGAATAAATTAGAAGTACAACTTAGCTTCAACAACTATTTTGATGTACTGTGCGTGTTACCCTAGTTATTCAATATATCATGGAACACGTGTTTAGCACAATAAGTTAATGAACATATATTTAAATTATAGAAAAACTGCTTTGATCGCTTTATATATAAAATATTCTAAATTGAATGAAATAACAATTTGTAAGACTCTTAATTCTATTACATTTTAAACAACCGTCGTAAATCCAAGAAGTATTACATTGATAACATTGATTTAAAGCTTTACTATTTCGTGCCATTTTGAAATTGTCTAAAAATGATAAATTAGAGAAATCAGACTATTTCCTTCCTCTATAACAAATGGGTTATTCGGAAAACCTTTATTCTCTATTTTATATACAGAATCCGTATTCGCAAGAAAGTTGAATTTCGTTTTAAGTAATATACAAGCTTGTTACAAACATTCCGTACTTAAGTAAGATACGGACGTCGTACTAAAATGTTCCGTATATAACGGATCACTCTATATTAATCATATACGGCCTCGCATAATATACGGTCCCACACCCCTCCGTATTTTAATTTTCCGATGTTTATACCATATTAATTTTGGGCGGAGATTTCAATGCAAGGACCCGAGATTTTTTAGATTTCATTCCTAACGATGATCTTCATTATGTTTTTGGTAATGTCGATTATAAAGGTAGCTATTTTGAAATTCCACGTCAAAATAAAGATAGTATAAGAGGGAATAATTTTGGTAAAGATTTAGTAAATTTTTGTTGCATATTTGATGTTCACTTATTAAATGGCAGGTGTCATGGTGATATTAAAGGGGAATATGCGTGTTATTCTAACGACGGAGTTAGTGTTGTAGATTATATGATTGTTTCAACAAATGTTTTTCAGTATGTTAAATATTTTAAAGTCTTAGATAAAGACGATTCAGACCATTTTCCTATATGTTGCAATTTAGAATTTAAGATAAAGATACCTGTACAAAATACACTTAATCAAACAAACACGTGTAATAATATTAATATAATAAACTTCCGCTGGAAAAATAATTATAATGAAATTTTCGTGAATAGTTTATGAAACCTTTTACATGAGAATAATGATACGTTAATACAAAAACTTAACGAAAACATTAATGAGTATATAAATTTATTTATTAATTAGATTTATCATGAAGCTGGCGAATGTATGAGAATGAAGTTTAAATTTAGTTCTAATCAACCTGCATGGTGGGATGATAAATGTTTTAGATTGAAGAAACGAAAGTATCAATTATTACGTCATTTTCGTAACACAAATACACAAAATGATTTGAGATTATATAAAACTAGTCGTAATGAATTTAAAATATGTTGTGATAAAAAGAAATTTGAATACCAAAGTAAAAATAGATATAACTTAGTGAACAGCACTGATGCCATTTCATTTTGGAAACAATTGAAATCAGCCAAACCAAAAGATAATATAACAAACAATAGCATTTCTTCTAAAGAATGGTATGACTATTTCAATAAACTATTGTATGACGCAAACTTGGTAAAGGTGCTGTCACACGTGAATAACGAACATGTATCTTTTGATGAAAGTGCGAATACACTTAGTTTACCTTTTACATTATGTGAAATTGAATCAGTTATTTCTAAACTTGTAAATAATAAAAGTTCTGGATTCGACGGGATCCCATCTGAATTTCTTAAATATTCACGTCAGGACATCGGGGAACATTTGCTACTGCTATTTTACACAATTCTAACAACAGGAAATTTTCCAAATACTTGGGGTCAAAGTATTATATGTCCAGTTTACAAGTCTGGATCGCCTTCCTTACCGAACAATTATCGGGGCATTTCTATCACAAATACAATGTATAAAATATTTTCTGGCGTTGTTAATAAAAGGTTATATAATTGGGCTGAAGAAAATAATAAAATAGACGAATGTCAGGCAGGTTTCAGGTGTAATTACTCAGCTATTTATAATATTTTCTGTTTACAAGCCATGATACAAAAATACTTGTCTAAAAAAGGTGGTCGTTTTTATTGTTTATATGTCGATTTCCGAAAAACTTTTGATAAAATTGACCACTCAAAATTATTTGATTCACTACAGAAAATAGGCATTCATGGTAATTTTTTACGGGTTTTAAAATGTATGTATTCCGATTTAAAGCCTTGTGTGGAAAACTTTTTCCCGTGAAACATAGGAACAAGACAGGGAGATAAATCTAGTTCGACTATTTTTATTCTTTTTATCAATGAGTTGTCTATTTTACTTAGACAAAACTGTGGCACAGGAATATTTATTACTAATGTATATCGGATATATTATGTCTTATGTTTGCCGATGATGTAGCAAACTGTGCAGAGACTGTATCTAAATTACAACAACAATTACATGTTATTGACACTTTTTGTTATAATACTGGAATGGAAATCAATCTTGATAAAACAGAAGTAATTGTTTTCCGTAATGGTGGTCCTTTACGTAATTATGAGAAATGGTATTTCCGAGGTAAAAGCTTAAATATAACATCTATGTATAAATATATGGGACTCATTTTCACTCGTCAATTATCATAGACTCACGCTAAGGAAAAAATGGCATCTCAAGCCCAAAAGGCAAAATTATCGTTAAAATATTATCAGAAACCTTTCGGTCATTTTCCAAGTAATGAATTGTTTAAAATTTTTGACCATATGATTAAACCAATTTTATGCTATGGATCACAATTATTGGGTTTTGAATATAGCCAAACTATTGAATAAGTGCATAATGATTTTTGTCGAAAACATTTATCTGTTAAAAAAAACTACAAATACAGCTATGGTTTTAGGGGAATGTGGTAGATTGCCCTTAAGTATTTCGTACATGACAAACTGCATACGATATTTTTGTAAACTTCTGACCATGCCTTCATCTAGATATCCTAAACAGTGTTAATATTTTATGTTGAAGTCACTAGACGATGTAGGTCGAATATGTTGGGTTACCAAAGTTAAACATGTACTGTTTAGATATGGTTTTGGTTTTGTCTGGATATCTCAAGAAATTGGTGACACGAATATGTTCCTTAAACTTTTCAAACAAAGACTTATTGATTGTTGTACTCAACAATGGTATGAAAATATAACGAATTCTAGTAGATGTTTTCACTATAATAAATTTAAATCACTTTTAAATGTTGAACGATACTTATTAATAGAAATACCATTTAAACATAAAAAGGCGTTTTGTAATTTTCGTTGCTCCAACCATAAATTAGGTATAGAAATAGGCAGACATAATAATATCCCAAGGGAAGAACGTTTGTGTACAACTTGTAATGATAGTATAGATTGTGAATTCCATGCTTCTTTAATATGTAAAAAATACAAACAAATCCGTGATAAGTATTTATTCAATTGGTATTTTGGCGGAAAAGAACTACATGATTTTTATGTATTAATAGGTACACGTGATATAATCACATTAAGGAAGCTTATGTTTTATGTATATGTTTTAATGGATAACATAAACAACTAGTCTTTTTACGCATTAATAAACATTGTTAAGGTGACGCAACCATATTACTATATTGTTGTATGTATGCTATGTATTTTGGGCCTGAGGCCTTTGAACACAAATAAAGTTATTTGAATCTTGAATCTTGAATTAATAATACATATTATTAATAATGTATTAATATAATTAATGATATACGAAATTCAGTAAACTTCTGTGAATCGATATATTTTCGCAGGAAAAGTAGAATCATCGTAAGAAAAGGGAAGTTTTAAAAGTAAAGATCTACATCAAAGTATTTGTCCATGATGTGATGCTTTCTTGTTTTTAAAATATCAGCATTGCATATAAAGGAAGTAGATTGATGGTGTAAGTTTTTTTTATAGGTTAGCCACTTGTAATTCTTCAGTGAGCAGTTCAGCCAATGCATGTGATTATATCATTATCAGTTTATATCGTCTAAAATGGAATTTGGTAAAAGTAAAGCAGATGTTTCGGGATCAAGTGATTGTGGTTTGTACGAAAACACAAATATTTCGACAGGTAATACTACGGCCAAAACACAGATAATGAAAATTGAAGAGGAACTATATGAACCAATAGAATTTTGCGACTCAAGTAAAAGAAAAATGAAAAGCGGGTATAATGATACTCTAAAGCGACTGAAATGTGTGATTTTAATAATTACATTGCTGATGATTGTTGTTTTCATTACTCTGATCTCGTTGGCTATAGTCCTTTTGGTGCCAAAGAGTTCAGGTAAGTGTTTTTATATCTGGCATGACTCATTTTTACGCCATTTAATGTAATATAGATAACACATTCTTGTAAATTGATACGATATGGTATAACAAACAATCATTCAATAAAACTTCGCTTCATGCTTACTTATATTTTTATCACATAAACCGCGGCGCAGGAGTGTAATAAAGCCATTCAATAAAAACTTTATTACACTAGTTTAATAACACTTTGACGTGACGTCATTTGCGCTAAATAGAAACATAGCGTTAAAGCGCGCTAATGTTAGCGTTACACTATAGGCGCTTCATTGAGAAATTACTCATTTTAACAGTTTACTGTTCTTATTTTATATATGTGATAAAGAACTCGTTGAATAAAACAATATAATGCTCATCAGAGGCTCGCAAAATATTATTTTATTCAACTCGTTCAATGAATTTAGTATGAAACTACACTCATTGAATATCCTCTATATATCACTGAGTATTTTAATTATCATAACAATTCAGTCGACAGTCATTGGGCACAATGGTCAAGCTGGACCTCGTGTGACGTAACATGTGGTAATGGAAAACATCTAAGGCTAAGAACATGTACAAATCAATTGGCTACGACACATGAGTGTATTGGAGAAAGCTTGCAGACTGGTGAATGCACAAATGGCAACTGTACAGGTGTTTATTGACTTTAACAGTAATTTTAGATACTGATTGAATTTCGAAATTCACCTTGCTTTGAACATTTTGATAGACACACATAATTACAGAGCTTTAATGTTTAAATATATTTGATAATCCGCAACGGAATCAGACAAAAGGTGTTTTAACGTTTGGCGCGAGAATAAAATGAGATTTTAAAAACAATATACACTTTATATACAGAAATAACAAATAGACGGTCCGAAAAACGACCAGGCCACGCGTAAATCCCCCGGATATTTTGCTTTGGTAAGGTTTTTGAGCCTTATATTGTGTAAAACAATGCTTTCCGAATCTGCAACGCAATCACACAAATGGTAAAAATTGTGTTTTGTCGTTGTTGTTTTTTTTTATGTTCTTTTTACGAAATTTATAAAATTATATAGACTTAAGGAACTTACCGTTTTCGTTAGAGCTCTGAACCTTACATTGTGGTGAGGAGAAAATAGATACTGAAAATCAATACAATCTACTTGATCAGTACATTTTTTTTAAATTGTAATAAAATTGTTAGACCACTGTATCGTGATCTATCGAAAAAAATGCAAATCTCAGTTTAAGAAGAGAATTGTCTCCATGACTTTACATTGGAAATTTTCAATCGATTTATAGTAATAGCTATAGTTATATAGATAAAAGCAAATGGTCCAAAAACGACAAATCTTCGAGAAATTCCACCAGATATATTACTTTGATTAGGACTTTTGCCATCATATTGTGCAAAGCAGACTATCTGAACTAATACAAAAACGAATCTGTGACGTAATAAGATAAATGATGTTTAAAGGTTGGCTAAAGAAAATTTTTACGACAATTTATACATTTTATATACGGAAAGAAAACATCAATGGTCCAAACAAACAACCATTTAATGAAGGTCTGTTCTACCATTATCCTTGCGTAAGAGCTTTATGCCCTACATTGCTGTCCTGTAAATCAATACAATATACTTGCTCATTTCATTATCATTTAAAGTACCTAGCGCTCATTCTACAATGGCTAACTGTGCATGACTTCAACTCCTATAGAAACGTGCTGAAAAGCGAGTTTTTATCACACGCCACTTAACTCCAATCTTAAAATGTTTTAAGATCACCTGGTATTGTAATCATATTATTGAGCCAACGGTTGACTGATTCCGTTGCAGATTTGTTTTTGTGCAAGTATAAATGGTTTCATTGCACAGCATGAGGACCAGAGCCTTAACCCAAGCAATATGCCTGAGAGGCTTTTGAGTGGCTTGGTCGTTTTCGGACCGGCGATTTGCTCTTTTCTAAAAAACTGTAATCGACAGAACATTTCCAAACCGACGTCATATAGACACAGCCCTTCTGATACCGAGATTAACATTATTTCGAAATAATATATTCTATATGTAACAATATTTAGGTACACAATAAATGTATTTTGAATAAACACTCTTATTTTTAGTCGGTGGTCAATGGTCACATTGGTCAAGCTGGACTTCTTGTGATGTAACGTGTGGACAAGGAACTCATTTACGTTCTAGAACATGTATAAATCTAGTTCAAGCGAATGATGTAATCGATTGTCCTGGGAAGACTGTTCAAACCGCTGAATGTTCAAAAGGCAACTGTCCAGGTCCACATTTTACAACTCAATATTATAGAAAGTAACAAAATGAGTGTTAAATCATTTTGGATTTGTTAGAATTCTTATTAAATATGTTCTCATACAATTCTATTTATTACATAAACGCAGTAAAATGACTTCTAATAACTGCGTCAAATTAGATGTGTTACATCTTTTTGAGTTAATATATGACTTACAATATACAGTTTTTACTCTGGTTTACTGATCTTTCACTACTGTTTACACTGTGCTGCTAACCCTTATGTTAGACATGTTTCAAATGGCGCCATTGTTACTCTCCTTTTTTGAAAGAATTTCGTTCTTGGGACAACGTCATTATGCCGTTATAAATGAAGTTGTAAATTCATACGCTTCTATAAGATTAAATCCTGAATGAAAATATAAGTTTTCTTAATTGTTTTCTCAAAAATATCATAGACTTGTTACATGTAATAAAATGAATTAAATAACGACAATCGTCACAATCTTGAATACTAAGCTCTTGTGTAACTGTTTTACCGAAACTCGACAGAGCCTCGTTATCGCCGTAAACATATACCCTCAAAGCTACAATTTCCAGTCTGTTCCGGCAACAGGTGTAAGATTATTATAATGTAAGCGTATTATTACGATTTAACGGACAGCAATTTGCAGCATAATTATAATTCTATATGTGGTATTATTTTGAGAATTACAAATAATTGGTATCACCATATAAAAAAAATCAATCAATAAGTCATGATACTTATTAATTTAGCTTTTCAATAAACACTTTTAAGAGCAAAATGTATTACAAAGCGATATTTTAATACGTTAAATTTGGCAAGAATCTGTATTTGAATACGGGAATAATTCTCATGTAACATAATGCAATGAAGTCCATCTGTTGACAATAGTATTAAAATAAGTAATCATGCTGCTTTTATATAAAACTTTAAAGTTTCCATATACAAAAAAATGTGGTTATTTTCTACAAAATAAAATATGATCAACATGTACAACGAATGGATCTGCTCGAATATATTTCACAACATAATTTGTAAACAGCACGTTTCATTTATTTTTTAAGCATGAATACTTCAATGTCGTGTCAAACATTTTGATTTCCAGTCGATGGTCAGTGGGCATATTGGTCCAGATGGACCTCATGTGACGTCACATGTGGCACTGGAAGTCGATTACGGACAAGAAGATGTACAAATCCAAGGCCCGAGAATAAAGGAAATGATTGTATTGGAGGAAGTTTACAAAGAAGTCAATGCTCAGTAGGAACCTGTTCAGGTAAAGAATAACAGATTGCATAACGCACCAATTGTGCTTTTAAAATTGAATAGCGGTTTCCGTTTTAAAGATCTTACATTTCCTATATGTTTATAGGCGACGTTTCTTAAAAGTTTCTAGGCGACGTTTAATGTTACGCGCCTAGCAATTTCGTGAAACACCAACCTTAATGATATGATCTGCAGTGCGTGGGTGTGGCATTTTCGAATCAAAGCCACAGTTAATCAGTCTATATTTCAAACTTTCGTGTCTGCACTGTATGTTTCGAACCAAATGAATGAAATTAAAACTATTTGGCAGAAACTAACAAATACTGAGATGATGTGCAGAAAGCAGGACTCGGCTTCCTCAGATCAAGGTCTATTCCAAATAATTTTGTAAGTTTATTTGTAGCAAACGCTAATATATTAGTATGTTATTTCCAATTATCCCTTAAAAATAAATAATACTACGACAAACTAAACATATCGACTTAATCTGATAGATTTATTATTATCAAGAAGATTTGAAATATGATAAGTATGTGATTTACAATAAATTAAGAATTAGGGCAGTATGATAATAAAACACAGTCATAATAAAATTGTTAATTGATAAGCTATGGTCTTACTTAAAATTATACTAAGACTAGATACCATGCTGCTTTAATATTAAAGCTCATATCATAGTTTCCACATAACATGAAGTTATTTTCTTTAAAGTCGTATAAGATAAAGATAAACAACGAATTGAAAAAGTAGAATATATTTAGCAATATAAAAGTGTAAACAGTACGCCGCATTCATTCTTTTTCAATCATGTTAAACTGTTGTATAAATGTTTGTTTTCTTTTCTTATTGCCAGTCAATGGTCAGTGGGCATATTGGTCCAGTTGGACCTTATGTGACGTCACGTGTGGCAAGGGAAGTAAATTACGAACAAGAAGATGTACGAATCCAATGCCAGAAAACAAAGGAAGGGATTGTATTGGAGAAAGTTTACAGAGTAGTCTATGTTCAGAAGTAAACTGTCCAGGTATTGAATTCTATGATAATCAAAAATAACTAGCCAATTGTGATTGCTTATAAAATCTTGAAGTGATTTTCGATTTATAATTTTTAATTACATTTTAAACATCCCATCGTATAATGTGACGCACATGGCAGTCCGTCTGTCTCTCCGCTATGTGCCTTTTAAACAGATTTCATGAAATTGAATCTAAAATATCAAGTGAACAATAACGATAAGCGAAGCTAGGGGTTGAGCTTTTTGCAAACATAGCACCTTGATTCTTGATTATTTTTGGGGATAATATTTTGTGCTTTTGAAATACTGATGTAATATATGTAAAATATTACACCAGTAATTCAAAAGCACAACCTATTTTTTATCATTTAAAACAAACATTGTTATTACTTCAAGTCAAAATATGAAAAAAATAAAGCATAGATAAGCATATCTATTAAGTTATCCTTAAACAAAACCTCCGTCCGGTTAGCTCAAGTAGAAGATCATTTGACTGTAATCGGACGACGCGAAATGTACAAGTCACCTTCTTTGTGATTGATTACGAAATCTTCTCTATGGTTATTCGAACTGTACCTCTGCTCTGGTATGTACAGAAGAAATATCTGTTCTTTGTTCTAGCTGGTACATGTAAAATGTTTGACAGCCTGTCCAGAAAGAATACGGTGGCTTGCCTCTTTTCTGGTGAATTTAAAGGCTTACTGCGGTGATCCAGAGGTTATACTACAAAAGCCACGATCACATTCTTGTGGCAAGAAATTTTCTTCTTGGCATGAATCAGTAAAGAACTCAACAAAAGATAAATAAAATAATTTTGCACATATGGTTATGCCACTGCGATGGGGGTCACTTAGTATCATAATTGTAGTTGTACCATACAATCGGCCTCAACTCACATTTAAAGATTGTTAGATAACTTTAAAAAAATGTATTCTGACGTATTTTCTGCAGCCTATTTGGTGCTATTGTTGTAGAAAAGGAAATATGTCATTTCAAGTGATTGTTGTTGTGTTTTCAATTATCGTTGACTGTACCCTTTTTTACACAATCAGTATAATCCAATGTTATAAGTTGTATGAGTGTTTAGCTGGATGGTCTTACATATTATATCCGTATTTATGCTTATATTATTTTGATTTATCACTTCTATAATTCAAGTTTATTTGGCCAATACTTTATTTGTATAATCTCTCCTTTTATTTCAGCCGATATGTCTGCATTCTCCGTGACACAACCAGATTCCTACAGCAAAATAAACGGAATTAATAAACTAAACTTTTCAAGTACCATTTACAAGTTTGGAAATGATTTTAATATCTCAACTGGAACTTACACATGTAGTACACCTGGTGTGTACCACTTTTCTGCAGCATTGGTGAAGAAACGGGACACATCAAGGGTTGACCGAGTTTATTGTTATCTTAACAAGAATTTCCAGAATTTGATATACATATCGGTGAATCCAACTGACGATGACACAGACAAAGGTCATGCTGCTGTATCTCAGTCTATAGTGATTAATCTTGATGCTGGGGACACTGTGTACTTAACTGGATGCAACGGTCAGCCAAGCACATACATGGATAGATGGTCTTCTTTTACTGGTTTCCTTCTATATCATAGAAAGTGAACCTTACGTTCAAAATTTGTAAAAAACATATTTAATTTGCTTCTGTTATCTCGCTGTACACTTAATGCCATTTCAGCTTAAATAGTAACACTTGAAATAATACCATCTATTAGCTGTTATAAGTAAACACTCATTGCACGTGCTAAAAATATGTCCAGTCAGCTTCTCTATGTTTATACATCATTTTATTACACTAAAAACATAAAGCTTACTTGATTTTAATATTATTTCGTCATATTGCCAAACAACTCCAGACTCTACTTTTTATAATATTACACGGTGAAATAAATCAATATTTACGATAATATGAGCAAGTAAATTTCAGCTAAAATAGATAGGTCTACATTTTCATAAGTATTTCAAATATTTCCAAAAGCAATAGAAATGTATCGTTTAGATATTCTTACAATGTATTTCTTGAAAAAAATGTTGATCAAGTTATTGACCGATTGAGTATGAAAATTTATATAATGAAAAATATATAAAATTTGATTTTAGAAAAGTTTATTATCTGCTACATGAACACGTTATATCGGATCATATTTCATACTCTTACCTTACTCTAACCAACAATATCTATATACATGTATGATTATTTATTGGTTTGATATCATGTATTATCAATACTACTATCATTACAATTATTTATGTTATACAAATGTATGTGTGATATTATTAAAAGGAAATTTGTCAACTTCTAAATAAAACATGTCTGAAATGTTTTGACCAGAGCAAGGTGTCGTTAATTACTTACGATGTTATTTTATTGTCTTGTGAAAACTAGATTCTCTGTCTTCCTTTTCGATTTTTTTCACTTCCTTCACATAGCACTTGTACTTAACTGAAAATACATCACGATACATAATTACCATTTCCGGAGTTATCCACTTCAGCAATATCTGAAGACATGTATTATAGTCATGATAATAGCAAACATTTTCAACTCATTTTACAAATGAAACAAAAGGCCTTTTGTAGGGATAAACAGTACAAAAATCCAAATTGTAAGAAATCATTTGTGTTTGACAGAAAATGATATTACCATTTGGCAATGAAACAGCATCAAGATGAGAGTGTCTGTTTTTATTGGCAGTAGTGAAATCATTACTTGAAACAGTTAAAATTAAACAGCAAATATGAAGCTTATTAACTGCAACAAGAATACGTTTTCTTCTACGTGATTTATTGTTTCAGGTCTCTCATCCATTGCATAACTTTTTTAGAGAAATGCATGTTCAAACTACTTGATATCATAATAAAGAATATCAGATATATAATAACTTATTAGAGTAAAGGAAGTAGAAAGGTTGTTGCATTAATTTTACCACCCTACTTTTAATCAATATTCTATTTTACATACTCAACAATGTTTAAAAAAACATAAGAATGAGTGTATTCTAATGTTTCAATAAAGTTTTTTTATATCCTTCAAGTGTAGCGTGTTATTATTAATGGTAATTGACTTTGATCTTGAAAGAAAACGTTTTCTAGCATGTATGTATCTAAGACATGTAGAATATTTTTGTTTCATGTGTAAGATAAAATTTTATTTCATCCAGTGAGCTATAAAAACAGTATTCTCACGAGTGGCGATTATGCTTAAAGCACGTTTAAATGAAATTTCTTCAATATTAACTTTAAAATTAAATATGTTGTCCACACTGGTAGCCTCTATTTCAGACGATTTGCTCATAAAAATAAGAGAAATTTTGAGCTAAAAAAATAAGTACGACAATCAACGTTTAATGGCGATTGTCATAGGGTACAAAGTACTACATTATATTTCAACAAAGTTTCAACAAACTTAATTTTCTATCAAGATTTGTCATTTCTTTAGTTAAATCAAACACTGAATCATCTGTAGATTTTGACCGAACACTTTCATTGACTTCTTCTTCGCTTTCGATTTTCTGTTGATCTACTTCAAATGATACACTGTTTTTTAAATCCTGGTGTATATGTTTGTCTATGTTCACGATTTTGAATGTTTCTATTTTCTTCTCCAAATCTGTTTCTAATTTGTGTCTTTTCTTGTCTATTCACTATGTCACTTTGTTGTTTACTTAAGTTTTCCAATTTATAATCATTGTTTAATGCATTTTGTCTACTCCTTGCTGGTACATCATCATAAAATTCCAATTCCGCATTATGAATCTCATCTGTTGGCAACTGTCCTGCACTGTCTCTATAAGACCTTAATCCATATCCTCTTCTAGAATTATCTCTTGATGTATAACTTTTGCCAAAAGTGTCTTTATAATCAGGCAACTGTACCTTTGATCAGTCAAATGTTTCCTATCTATAATTATGTTCATTTGCTATATCATATTTATCCTCCTTTTCTGTATGTCTCCTTTCCTCCGTCTCTCTATCTCTCCTTTCTTCCATTTTTCTATCTCTCATTTCAACCATTTCTCTGTCTCTTTTTTTCATCCATTTCTCTATGTCTCCTTTCCTCCATTTCTCTATCTCTCATTTCCACCATTTCTCTATCTCTTTTTTTCCTCCATTTCTCTATCTCTCCTTTCCTGAATTTCGTTTTCTCTTTAGCATTTCTTCTGAGCTTTCTATACTCGCTATCAGAAATTTCAGGATTTATTTCTACACTAAGCAACTTGTTTGTATTTCAATATTGTAGTTAACTAAGTTTAGCTTCCAAGATATTCACAACACTCCAAATACAATAACACTTCTATTCTTCAAACTAAGTGTAGCTTCCAAGATATTCACAACACTCCAAATACAATAAAACTTCTACTCTGAGTTTCTCTCAGCATTCACAATTATGTTATTCTAAATTCAAAGAGTTACATGAAATTCTTATTTCTTCATAACAATCCATCACTTTATTTTATATGTGAACACAATGTTAGCTTTTTTATTCAATGTATTGAACATTCAATATATTCACTTTCAGTTTATTGTAATATCGTAAGTGACACTCAATTAATTCAGAAAATCCTCTTAAACACATCTAGTCAATAGTATATCTCCAAATTCAACACATTTTCTTCAAGTATGTATTTATCACATGATGAATTCCAATCCAATTCCATATATCAGTTATGTACTATTTCATATACAGCTATCCAATATATGTGTTTTGACTATTTTAAGTCTTAAATGATTTAATTTTTTGTAAACCAATTTTCATCACAACAATATTGTATCTGCTAGTATATTTGTTTCATTCGAAAACATGTACATCAATCCATCCATACACAATCTTCAACAGAACTTTATATTTACATTTATTCACAATGTTATTCCATATCACTATACACAATGTTTCATAACATTTCAACATCACAATTCATACAGTTTTCACATATTCCTTTCAGTACTCATACATTTACAAATCTTATTTCAATTGTCAATCAACAACTTTCATTATTCACAATTCAACTTCAATTTTCATATTCTAAGGTTGTAACAATATTCATTCAGTCTGTTATTAACAACGATTTCATTATTTTCTTCCAATCTTTATATATATTACATTCATCTTCTCTATAAAGCTCTTGTATATATATATTTCCTAAATATACTTTTGAAGTATATTTCAATATGTTTGACAAGATTATTTCATAATCTTTCTATATAATTCTACTTTCAAGTTTTCACAATTTCATCTTCACAACACAATTATACTTTAATATATATCAATCCACTTCACAATATTGATGTAGTTTTATTCATGATTTTGTATTAAACTGATATAGATATTTTAAGAACTATAAAACTGAAAATAAGTTAAATGAAAATACAGTTGACGGTCTTTAGGCACAACGTTCAATCTGGACCTTATGTGAGAAAACGTGTGGTAACAGAACGCAAATACGGACAAGAACATGTACAAATCCGGTGCATATTGATAAGGGAAGTTACTGTATTGGAGACAGTTTACAAATCAGTATTTAATCAAAAGACAACTGTTCAGGTCTTAATTTAAAATTCTTTTTATAGAAAATTAATGTTTAACCGGACATGGAAATATAATTGAACATTTCTTAAATTTACGTTTGTGGCGAACGACAGAGACTAATCTACTTCTTGCTTTTATTTCACAAAAATAACCGTTTTGATTTTGAAAAGGCAACTATAGTTATATGCATGCCATATCTGACATGATAATATTGTACAGATACCTTAACAATTTTGATGATGTAAATTCAAAAATTGTCAATTGAATATACAGTGTTATATAGGCTTTTGCAAAGACATCTTTGACTCCTGTCTCTTGTTGTTTGCCAAACAAAAACAGATGAAGTCCATGCACTTGAAAATAATTTGTATTCAGTCATTGAATATAATATCTAGTCGTTTTATTTTACCTAACCCTGTTGTTATCCTTAGTCGTATTATATCATGCAGCCTTTAAATCTATCAGATTTGGAATAAGCAATGTACTGTTTTCCTTTGCATGAAACCTGTGTCCACTTAGGTAAAAACGTTGAACTAAAGAGTTCGAACCTTTATCGTAAATGTTCTAAATAAGTGTGTACATTCATGAAAATATCAGCAAAGCCAAAGACAGAAGAACCTTCCAACAATTTTAAATAAACTATTTTAGTAGATGGTCAATGGACATAGTGGTCAAGCATGTGGAAGGGGAACACATCAACGTTCAAAAATATGTACAAATCCAGCTCCAGCTCAAAATGGACTCGAATGTACAGGAGAAAATACACAAACTGTTTAATGCTCAAAAGGCACCTCATTTCATTTCATTATACAATATAAAAAATGATAAATAGAATGAATGTGAATTATATGAAAAGAATGTGCTTCTCACTAAGATCAAGATTTCAGATAAAAACTCATTTAAGTCACTACAAGTTTGTTTTATTGACCCTTTACAATATAGAATAAAATAAAAAGAATGAATAATAGAATGTGGTTCTCACTAAGGTCATGATTTAAAAGTCAAGTTATGTTTTATTGACCCGTTACAATTAGAAAGAAATGATCAGTCATCTCCAAAATTGAATTTGATACCTTAACTTTTTATCTACCTACATACTTAAAGAAAATTGAAATTAAACATATTCAACGAACGGAAAATAAAACTGCTCGAATATAAGTCCCAAAATTAATAAAAATATTAATTTCGCATCAAACATTTTATTTCAAGTCGATGGTCAATTGGCCTATTAGTCAAGTTGGACTCAATGTGATGTCACATTAGATGAAGGAAGGCAACTACGAACAAGAAGGTGTGCAAATCCGATGCCCGAGAATAAAGGAAAGGACTGTTTTGGAGAAACTTTACAGAGTAATCAATGCTCAAGGGGAAACTGTCTAAGAACATAATTATAAATTAAATAATGGATCATTCAATAAAGTTGGTTTCATTAATATATAATAGCTTTACGTAGCTTTAAACAGTTTTGTAGACAGATAAACAGTTAAGTTTAAGAGGTATTGTTTGTCTTTCAAGAATGAAATTAACTGACACGATCCTTCTTTCAGACAGATAATACTACTGCCGAAACGCAGATAATGAAAATTGAAGAGGAACATTATGCACCATTAGAATTTTGGGATTCACATTAAAGAAAAAAGAAAAGCGGGTATAATGATACTCTAAAGCGACTGAAATGTGTGATTTATGTAATGACAGTGCTGATGATTGTTGTTTTCATTACTCTGATCTCGTTGGTTATAGTCCTTTTAGTGCCAAAGAGTTTTGTTTTATTTCTCCTTCTTCTTCTTCTTCCTCTTTTTCTTCTTCTTCTTCTTCTTCTGCTTCTTCCTCTCCCCCTTCTTCTTCTTCTTACGCATCTGGTACTAATCATTTTAACGCCACTTAATGTAATAAATATCAAATTCTTGTAAATTAATATGATATTATAATACAAATAATCATTCAATAAAACTTTTGTTTATGATTACTGATATTTTCACATCACTGTATTAATTTCAGATCTCACAATACGTCTAAGAATTTGACTATCATAAAATCTCAAACAGT